GCTCAAGCAGTTCATTAATTCAGGATTTTGGATCACTTAATTGTCTTGAATTTGTAAGAGCAGCAAAAGACTACATTTTACCAACACTGCAGAATTACCATAACTTTAACCTCAAACAGCGTCTCTCACATCATCCTATCAATATTTCACCAGATCCACAGCTCTGAAGTAAAAACCTCACTCAAATTCAATTTTTTCTCTACTTTGAAGAGATCAGAGACCACATACTAGTGTACGCTGTGTAATTGCAATTTAGTGGAACTTCTAAAAATGGAGCACTGTGAATCTTGTCAAATCTCAAAGCTGAAGCAACAACCTTCATTTTCTCCTCAAATCCACGTAAAATATGAGATGAATGGATCAGAACAGCGCTCTGATTACCATCTGTCTCTCCATGATCATCTCCGCCACCACGCGCTGACGAGGCGTTTCTTAAGACAATGTTTACTCTGTGCGGTCACACACACACACACACACACTCACGCAGAGCATTTGAATGTTACAACATGCATAATAGATTGGAGATCACAACTCCAGCAAACCCCAACTGTGATTAAAAACAGGCTGTTTTGTTTTATCAGCCTCTCCGCTTCCCTTATCAGCTCATTTGCATAATTAGCAGTGGCTGAGGCTGTCCTTGTGAGCGACTGTGATTTGTCCTGAAACTCTGTCCTACTTCAGAGCGTCGCTGCATCCTGGTGCATGCTGCTGTAAGTGCACTGTGCTGCATTCAGGAGCCTCTCTTTATACTCTAAAACTTAGAAATAGCTGCTGGTTACTGTACAGTTCATTTTAATAATAATATTAATAAATGGAATTTATAAAGCGCCTTTCACGGGACCCAAGGTCGCTGTACATGATGGACAGACAAAACAAAACAGACAATGAGGAGCGAACAAAACAAGAAAAAAAATGAAAGATAAAGGAAGCCAGGGGACCAAGAAAGGACTAGGGTCCGAAGGCCATGGTGAACAGGTGCGTTTTTAGTGAGGATTTGAAGATGTCCAGTGAGGCAGCGTTCCGGATCTCGGGAGGAAGTGGATTCCAGAGGGTGGGGGCCGCAACACTGAACGCCCTGTCACCAACAGTACGAAGGCGAGAGCGGGGGATGGAGAGCAGGCCCGTGTCTGAGGACCGCAGACTCCGAGAGGGGGTGTAGGGATGTAGGAGGTCTGTTAAGTACTGGGGGGCGAGGGAATGGAGGGACTTGTACGTGAGTTTTTTATAGTGAATCCGGGACTTGACCGGCAGCCAGTGGAGGGTGGATGAGGGTGGGGGTGATATGTTGCCATGGCTTAGTGCGGGTGAGAAGCCTGGCGACAGAGTTCTGGACATATTGGAGCCTGGCCAGGGTTTTGCTGGGAACCCCGGACAGGACTCCATTGCAGTAGTCCAGACGGGATGTGATGAAGGCGTGTATGAGTGTTTTCTGCCACAGAGTCAGAGAGTGAGGGGCGGAGTCTGGCAATGTTTTTGAGATGGTAGAAGGCGGATTTGGTCATGGATTTGATATGCGCCTGGAAAGAGAGGGTGGAGTCCAGGATGACTCCCAGGTTGCGGACTTCAGTGGACGGGGAGATGGAGCAGCCGTCAATGGTGAGAAGCAGGTCACCAACCTTCTGGAGCTGCGCCTTGGGAGCCTCAATGATGAGCTCAGTTTTGTTGCTGTTTATTTTTAGCAGGTTTGATGACATCCAGTTTTTGATGTCCTGGAGGCAGTTGACAAGGGAGAGAGGTGGGAGCTGTGTGGACGGTTTGGTGCAGAAATAGAGCTGTGTGTCATCGGCATACGAGTGAAAGCTGAGACCATGTTGGCGGAGGATTTGACCAAGTGGGAGCATGTAGATGGTGAATAGGAGGGGTCCAAGCACAGAGCCTTGAGGTACACCTTGGTTAACTGGGGCCGGAGGGGAGCTGCAGTCACTGATGGTAACAAAGTGAGTCCTGTTATGGCACATTTTCAATGCAGTGGGGTAGCCCCGTTTAAGCGTCCTCGCTCAGGCAGACTCCGAGAGGGGGCTGCCTCGCTGACCGTCCGAGGCTGTGGCGCATTCCCATTACAGTTTAGGACCTGGGGTAGCAACGCAGTGTAGGCGGGGCAATCGGCTTCTTTTTTTTTTTCACATTTCGAGTTGTTCCGTCGAGCTCCCGCTGGATTTTATCATCCCCAATGAGATGTAGGAACGTCGTCACCTCCTCGGTCGACCACGGTGTGTGCTTTTCTTTTGACGTAGCCATTTTTGTAGCTCATCCGTTTACAAAAATGCTGTGTATAAAAATGCTGCAAGCTTGCTTCTAGATATATATGCGACGCTAGGGATGATCTCGCGCGCGATTTTGTGACGATTCTCTCTGACCAATCAGCAGTCGAGAGTGTTGACGTCACTAGTTCAGCCCTGGCCTGATAGAACCACGATTTTATGGGGCCGGAAAAAGAGGGAAAAAGTACCCGCAAGCCGGTGCTACGCTATATGGAAAGGCCACCAAAAACTGGCCTGGCCGCTTGAGGACGATTAAGGACGCTTAAACGGGGCTACCCGCTGCAGTGGAAATGTGCCATTAGAGAGGGAGGACTCGAACCAGGCAAGAGCTGTGTGACTGAGGCCAAGGTAGTCTGACAGGCGGCTGAGGAGGATGCTATGGGATATTGTGTCAAAGGCAGCAAAGAGGTCCAGGAGGATGATAATACTGATGAGGTCAGAATCAGATGCGATGAGGAGGTCATTAGTGATTTTAATGAGGGCAGTCTCAGTACTGTGATGAGGTCTGAAGCCAGACTGGAGGGGTTCGTAGAGCTCATGAAATGTCATGTGGTGTTGCAGTTGTGCAGCAACTGCTCTTTCCAAGATCTTGCTCAGGAATGGGAGATTTGAGATCGGCCGGTGGTTGGCATTTTGGCAGTTGCTTTTCATTTAAACACCACTCTACAGGAGCAATGACATAGAAACATTGTTGTTTTTCTTAACTTTGAGATCGCAAAACACAGCAAAGTGCAGAGAGCTTTAATGTGAGTCCATCAAAATCCAATCACGTTACACAACCCATCTCTAGTACACCTTGCTTCCATCAATTGCATTTTTGGATATAGTGTGGCAGTAATGATGTAAGTGTTCTTAATATTTATACATTACATTACATTGTACTTGTTAGACGCTTTTATCCAAAGCGACTTATATACTCAATACTGTGGGCAATCCCCACAGGACACAATGAAGTGTCTCAGGGACACAACGACATGCTGACTGCAGTGGGGTTTGAACCTGCACCACACGCCTAAAGTCTACTGCAGTTTTGACTTAAATACATATTTAACATCTTACTGTATATTCAACTTCTTTCCACATGTATGGATTACAATTAATCCTCTTCTAACTATTTTAACACATTTACAATAAAAATAATGTGTGAGGGTGATTCCTTGAAACTGAAAGAGCAGCAATGTGAACTGACACTGATAATGTAATATTCATACCTGATTAAATAAAGTAAAGTAAGCATCTCTAAAAAGTATAGAGCTTTCAAATGGCCTGCACTGGAATGAATGACCTCTCCTCGACATTATGCAAACAGGAAATGCTTTTAAAAGCAAAAAATCAGAAAAATAATATATTTTCATTTCCATATATAGTTTTCCATGGCCTCATTAGCTATTTATTGGAAGCTAGAGGCCAGTAATTATAGACTATTATGTATTTAGCTACAGCCTGAGGCATGTTTGTTTGTCTGAATTCAATACTGCATACTAATTCAATGCAGTACTTTCCTATTCTCATTGTCATATCATACTTATATAGCATTTAGTATGTAAATCCATTACTTTTATACTAACTAACTGGAAATTACACACAATATAGTATCATTAATTGACTTCTGTAAATTAAATGCTTATTTTGATGAATCAGATAAACACTTAGAGACCCTTCTCACAGCTACAGGTGTTTTCATGTGTTTCCTGATTAGCCGTCTTCTCAGGACTGTGTGGGCTGCTTGATTGACAGCTGCTTCTTCTACAGTTCACATCCTTATCACTGTTATTAGCCACCATAGTTTGGGGACATCTCATAAATGAATATACACCCAGCTGAATTGAAAACACCTGTTTAGGGACTGTAAGTGTTCAAACCAAAAACACCAGATAACTGCTTGAAAATCGTTTATGTTCATTTCATAACAAAATCAATTCATTTAACAAGGATGTTATATTTTAAGTGTGCAATCACTTTACAGTATAGCTGGTCGTAATGTTCACGACTTTGTCCCTGCTTCGACCAGCACTGTACTTTGAATGTTATATATTTTTAAGCGGCACATTTGGCTTCGGTGGTCCATCTCCACATATACCAGATTACATTTTGCTCAGGAATATATAAGACGAAGCATCTTTTAAGCACCTAAAAATGGGAATTGTCTCTCGAGCGAGGTTTGTCCGTGTCTTCATGGCCTCACTTTGATCAGAGTTCATTTTAAATTAAACTGAAGGAAAATCCAATTAGGAATTTCAGTTGTGTACCATTTCATATAATTAGTCTGCTTAACTGATTACATGGAGGAAAGGACTCAGACATGCTGTGCACATCATTGAACATGTGTGTGTGTCATGTATTCTAGATGTAAATTCAAAGGACATGTGAAGGTCAGATGATGTGGCGCAGTCCCCGGGAAGAGAGGGAGATTGTTACTCTGTGATTTTTAGAAAAATGCTCAGAGGAAGGTGACTTGTGCCGCTGCGTGATGAGTAATCTGACTCTGCCTTTGTTTTCACCCTCTGCTAAAATGCTGTCCTACGCTCTCTCTCTGTCTTCCTCACAACACACACACACACACACACACACACACACACACACACACACACACACACACACACACACACACACACACACACACACACACACACACACACACACACACACACACACACACACACACACACACATTGTTCTCCCTGCATTGCCTGCATCTACGCTCCTAATTCATTTCCCTCTCTGTGTGTTTCTCTGCAGGCTCGCTCACAGTGTCCATCACCGACATGCGAGCTCCGGTGGTGGGTGGGTCCGGAGGGGTCTACGCTCTGTGCTCGGCACATCTGGCCAACGTCGTCATGGTAACTGCCGTCATCATCGCCTCCATTGTTATGTCTAAAAGCTTCTTTTTTTCAATGGAGACGAAATGTCAGAGCCCTCTGAATGGTGTGAGACTGACACCACACTTTTACGTCTTAGTGCTCTGTTAAAAAAATATATAAAAATTGGTAATACACAATGTGACAACAACAACAACAAAATATGAGTTTGACATTTTATTTAACATATCTTTACTTTTTAACTTTATCTAATAGTGTTTTATTTTGTCGCTATCTTTACTTTTCCTGTTACAATATAAATGTCCATCTTTTGGATGACTAAAGGAATTCTGATTCTGATATCCAAAACGATTTTACATACAAATGTTCAAGCACTGCTAAAAAGCAGTATGGCAAGGCAAAGCAAGTTTATTTATATAGCACCTTTCAACACAAGGCAATTCAAGGTGCTTTTATATGAGCAACATACCTGTATTTTAACATACACACAACAAATAACACACATCCAATTTGGCTGCAAAATATATTTATTCTTTTCTTTTTTACAAAATATGTATTGTAGGTGTTGCCTGCTACAGAAGGATCACATCGATGTGATAAATGTTTTTACATTGCCCCAGCATCTTTTGGAAAAGCATAAATATTCCATGTGACCTCTTTGAACCTTGTTGATAAGTAGCTTACCCACCCCCCCTCACCACAACATGTTTATTACTCTCATACTGTATGTGTCAATGAATCTAAAGTAACTGGCATTTCAGACACTTGTATTAATTATTAACCCTGTTTTTATTTATGTCTACTGGGAAAAAAACAAGCCGTGGATTCCCTTGTTGCTTGTTTTATAGTATTTATTTATATGTGGGTTTCTGTCACATGGTCTACATGTGAAATGCCTTCCACATTCTCTCCAGCTCTCGAGGCGGTGTTACATCTGACGAATGACTTTAACTAATGTTCACTGTTGGTAGCCGAGACGGCAGCAGGGATAGAAATCAAAGAGCATCGACGGGCCAAAGCGGAGGAACTGTGACTGCGCACTCGTAGCAGCTAACAGACACCGTGTTGGGTCTGTTGCGCTTGATGCCTGTTTGTAGTTACTGAAATCCTTTAAGGCACGTCTTAGTTCTGCTCTGATGAGGGGTTTTTTTTCTAGTTTTTTGTTTTTGAAGAAAACCTCGTCAAGTCTCGACCCAGTAAATTCCCAGCCATCTCCCACCAAGCGTCATCATCCGCTCTGAAGTTTGTAGTGCCGCCTCGGACGTGACTCCCCAGAAGTCATGCGGCTCTCGCCAAAGTGTCAGAATCTATCTTGGAACTCTGTAGAGCACAAACTCAGCTTTTGGCACTGCACATACATCTGAAAGTCTTTCATTTTTTGAAGGAAAACTAGATCTTACTCGTAGTTTTTTATATATTTGTTTCCTCTGAACTGCCAGCCCTTTTTCTTTGACTCAATAAATGATTGCCTCACACACGTACGACTGATCACCTCAGCAGTTTTCCATTTCAATGTCAGCAGTGCGATAACAAGATGTATAACAGACAGAAAAGATTGGTTTTTGTTTGGTTTAAGATTAGCTATTTCTACACATTTGGGAGTGGAGGCACGATAGAGCAAAGTGCCTCCCATCAGAGAGCAGCACACACAGCTCTGCACTTCTGTGTTGACCTCTCCTCCACAATATCAATCATTTATTTGTGGAAATATTGTGTCATTGTAAATCCCTGCCACTCCTGGCTTGTTTTAAATGTATGGTCACGGCAGGTTTTATTTATATTCTCTTCAGTCTTTAATCTTGCATGCATTCCCCATTTCTGTTTGTGTGCTGTGAGAGAAGTGGAGAAACACTGGCCGGGGTAATACATCCACAACTTAAAGGGGAAGTTCCCCCAAATCAAAATATATATTTTGCTGACCTTGTTGTGAGCAATTTTCATGTAGGAACTATTTTCTCTTTACCAAACTAAAACTGAGGCACACTTCCCTCTGCGGGGTGATAACGTTTGCGGGTGTAGTTTGGCAGAACGAAAAAATGTTCCTAAATGGCCTGTGGATTATCTAGAGTAACTGGGTCATGATTTCTGAAATGGACATTGCCGTTGAGTTTCACAAATGAGCACCACAAGATGAATGCCATCTAGTTCCATTATATTCAAGAGAAGGTAGAAACTCTCCAACATTCGGGCAGTGCTCCCCACATTTCTGTATAAATAACACTGCAGGTTAGAGAACATTTTTTTTAATTCTGGGTCCCTTTAAGAAAAATGTGATTGGTACAGTTTTCCACCCTTTAGGAGTTGATGTGTTATTCTAACTCAGGATGCAATTGGTTTATTTCCCCCCAAAGAATCTCAACGGCTATTTATTGGCCTATATTCCCCCTGTGTTAAATAATCTAAGCTCTAATTAATGGAGCGCCACTGGGCTGGAACAAGTAAGTGGAGAGCTGTCAGGTGTGTAATCGCGTCTATGTGTTGTGTAAGTGTTTCCTCCTCTCTCGTGTGGATATAGATTGTTTTTCTTTCAGGTCTAAATATGTCCAGAGGATAGAAATTGAAGCGTTCCTTCTCAGGCTGATAATATACTCACGTATATATATATAAATTAATTTTGTTTGTGTCGTGATTGTTTACGCTGACGAGACACTTTTGTGTTGCAGAACTGGGCCGGGATGCGTTGTCCGTACAAGCTGCTCCGCATGATCCTGGCTCTAGTTTGCAGTAAGTTATCGAGATCGACACTCAAATCCCTCCTGTCCTCCTTTTCTGTTCCCATTGTTGCTATTTATGTTAATATAATAGCTCAATCATTGAATAGGGAGTGTGCATAACTTTTTATTTTCAGCATATTAAATGTTCACAGTTCATTAAGGACTATTTATTATCTGAGTGGGGTGAAAACGGCGATCAAAGCTGAGCAACAAACATGTAGTCAAGTTATCTTGGTTAATTGTTCATAGGGGCCCCATGCTTGGACATGTTGCTTTGTTTTCGAGCCGTTTGAGTCATACCACTTGTCCTTTTTTCTCCACACGAGGGCCGATACGCTGCCACTTTCATTAGTGAGCAATATGTTCCCTCCATCTGTGCCGAGCCTGCCGCCCCCGAACTGAGGAGCCGAGAGTCTCTGCAGCAATGTTGGATTCCTCCTCAGTGTTTTACAAACAGGCAATACAGCATTTTAAATAAACCGTGACACATGGCTCGTGTGAGAGACTGAATTAACATTAGTTCAAGTTTTATAATCAGTGTTGAGTAAATATTCAGTGCAAGAGATTCTCGGAGAGCAGCACCACAATTAAAACACTATAATTGTTTCAGTTTTTAGTCATAAACCCTGTGATATATGCTGTACGTGGTTCTACATATTAGCTATTTTCTAGTAAGATGCTGACAAATGAACTGTTATGAGGTGGGAAGGTACTGAAAGGGCCAAATAAACAAGAACAATAATATATATATTGTACAATTATTTTATGACGGAGATTTTTCATTTGTCAGTTGTACTCATTAAGGCAAATGGATTTTGTTATATTTGCATAGAGCCAGGCTAGCTGTTTCCCCCTGTTTCCAGTCTTTATGCTAAGCTAAGCTAACAACCTAATGGCTGTAACTTAATGTGTACTGTACAGAGATGATAATGGTCTCAATCCTCCTTTCTAACTCTTCACCATGAAGCTAAAAACGGCCAATTTCTCAAAAATCTAAACACAATTATTTCACTCCTTGATAGAAGAACATAGCTGTAGTCTGGTGTCATGTCCTCAAAGATACAACCGTAAACAAATACTGAGGCTATTCTGTCTCTCCTCTTCCCTCCACAGTGAGTTCGGAGGTGGGTCGTGCCGTCTGGCTCCGCTTCTCCCCCCCGCTGCCCTCATCGGGGCCCCAGCCCAGCTTCATGGCCCACCTGTCGGGGGCCATAGTGGGCATCAGCATGGGGCTGCTGATCCTGCGCAGCTACGAGGAGAGCCTGCAGAAACAGTGCTCCTGGTGGGTCATCGTCTTCTCCTTCATCACCTTCCTCCTCTTCGCCATCTTCTGGAACATCTTTGCCTATGAGCTGCTGGGGGTGCAGATCCCGCCTCCTCCCTGATGAAGGCCCCCCCCTCCCTCTCCACAGGTCCTAATCCACACACACACTGACTCAATTTTTTTTTTTAAATCCCTCTTGGACCATACTTAGCATTTCCTCTCAAGTTAGACCCCAATTATAAGAAATCATTCAAAACAAAACTAAATCTAAGAATCCTTTTTTACAGATACTTTGCAAATCAAAGAAATATGTCTCTTTTATTAAAGAGGGATTACAGTAGCAACAAGAACAGGTGAAAGTTCCTCAGATCCATTTCGAGGAGCGTTGTATCTTTTGATGTATACGTTTTGAAATCTCATCCACATTACCAGCACTAACCTTTCAGTGAGCATTTATCCGCCATGCTCTTTATTTCAGAGGCTTCTTGAAAAGCTGTTTCATCATTTGTTTCTTTGTGTGCATCTCTCATACATTGTTGACACGTGCCTGTGGTGAAAAGCAAAGGGAATAAAAGGGAGGCAAACAGTAGAGTGACAATGCTGGAGAAACACTAAGAGACATTTTTCTTTTATCACGCCTGAATCTGAGTCCTCGGGCTGTGCCAAAAGTCAGAGCTGCAGCTGCTTTAAATTAAGATTAAAGAAGAATTTCAGGAAAAGTTTATTTCTAGACTAGAGGGTAGCAATACAACAAAAAAATTCTGAAGAACCAAATGAAATATGATTGCTGTTGTGTTTTTGTGATTCCACAGCCCTGTTGTAACTCACCGGGTGACTGTGGCGTTTTCAAAATCGCTGATTGAAAAACAAAAAACAACTTACAAAACGTTTTTCTCAAATTGAGCTGCCAAGAAGGGTCTCCTGCCCAATTTGAAAACAAAATGCTTCGAGTGCAAATGGTTCTCCCAAAGCAGGAAGAATGAGAGGGTGATTTGAAACGCAAGATTTCAGGCACGTTTAATTCTGTCATCCTCAAGAAGACATCTTCCTTTTCACCTCATGGGATCTTTATAAATGAGAAGACATCCGTTTTTCTTTTACATTTTTTACATGGCATTATACCTACACTGTGGATACCGAGACATATTTCACACAACATAGACGTGAAGATGGGAAATGAAAGCGAACGCGTGACATGGAGAAAAAGAAAAAATGAAGCTCGCTAGAAAAAAGACGGATCAAGTTTCCTGGATGGTCATCGCTTCCCCGGGTGATCTCCGCCTGTTGTCGAACTAAACACCAACTTGCTAAGCGCACCGTGTAAAATATGCCATGTCATGCTCTGTGGCTCTCAGCGAGACAAGGACACACACACACACACACACACACACAGTTTCTCCTCTTTGTCTTTGAGAGCAGCCACCGCCTGATTCTGAAGGTCAACGTGGACAAACCGAAGAGAACACACACACACACACACACACACACACACACACACACACACTGGCCCCTGCCTGTTCTCGCTCTGACAGACTGGACTGGGGAGGGCGTGGATGTGTCATCACCTGACCTCTGACCTTTGCGTCCCAGAGGGCATTGGGATCTCTGTCGGGCCCGGTCTATACCTCAGTTTCTCATCCTTAGGGACTGTATACTTTTGTAAAGGAATGTACCTATAAAGAAAAGAAAAAAAGAGTGTTATTAAGCTGTCCCCATTTTTCTTTTTGATAGTGGATGTGTATATCGTATGTTCATAGTTCATAACCAAGAGTATATTTATTTGGTCTCATCTCCTCTTTGACGAGGAAGAGTTTCAAATGGTGCAAACTTATTGCTATGATTGTTGTTCTTCTGATTACTCCTGTCCTGTATGCTCCTCTGAAAAATAATCCACGAGGCAGAATCCCCACACAAGCTTGATTTTATAAATCTTTAGTGCTTTACAAAATAAGCCATAGAAAGAACTAATTGGAGAGGGTGAAAGAAAAAGATGTTGGATTGGTAGCTTTAATTTTGTTCGTGTGATCAAACATTTATCCTCATTTTGAAACCGGTGATGTGAAAGAAGACAAACTGTGCAGCCTGTAAAACAGATATTTTCATGTAGCGAGACACATTTTTACAACTTGTTCGTTAACTTGTTCGCAGCTTTAATTTGCGCGCACATCTCCTCTCCCCCCCTGCAGCAACTCTTCTTTTGCAAGTAACAAAATATGGACAGTGCTTCTGTCATATATTTCTCCTGAGTGATTCAAGCTTTTTGGAAAGCTGAGGCGAGGATAGCAATTAGATTTTCTCCTGCTACGTTCCATTTTTCAGCCTTCAATCAATAATTCATTTGAATGTCCACTGGCTGCATGAGGGTAAAAAATATTATGCATTTGCCAATTTTGATAGTCGGTCATAAATACATTCCTTTGCATTTGCTTCCACATGAAACTGTCAGTAGTGACAGAAGACTCGGCGCTAAATGAGGAATTCCATAGCCAGAAAAGCCCTGTTTCGGATGCATTAAAAGGAAAGGATAAGCTAATACGTAGTATTAAAGAATCCTTGATGGGAACTCCTGTGTATACTACGAAATACTTTTTGCTCAGGATAGCAAAGATGCATTGATGAATAATTTACACATACCCTGTTAGCCTATAATGAAGATAAAGAGGATGCCGGAGAAGAGGTTAATGTTCCTCTTTAACTGAAGATTCACAGGAACCCATAGGGCCTGTAAAAGGGGGCTAGTAAATGTTTTTCTTGTGCACATTAAATGTTAATATTACCTTTACTCGAAGTACATGCAGGACTAAAAACAGTGAGTTTGTGTCCCCCGAAACAGATACTAACCTGAGTTGTTCTCATACAAAGTGAGATGCAGAGTTTTGGATTCGCTATTATGTTATTTTCTGAAAAAGGCAGACAATATCCTCAACACAAGAAAAAATTAAGTGTGTGCATGTTAGAAAAACAGGTGGACAGGAAATGTTTTTAGGCTTTTTTAGCACTTTTCAACAACAAGGCAGTTCAAAAACATTAAAAGCATTAGAGCCACAGAAACACATCATGCAATTACATTTAAAAACAAAAATCCAAGAGTATACCAACAAAAACCAGCTCAAATAGAATATGAAAGGTATAAAATACAAGACGAAAAGTCACAGACCAGTTTAAAGAGTAGTTTTTTTACCTATCTGTAGGACAAGTCTCCTCAGCCACTCAGCTTTCAGCATCTTAAAGAAAGTCATAGAGGCCTGTCTCCCATCCTCTGGTTAACAGTATATGACGTTAAATGGTTAGTGAGGGACATCAGAAGGTGTCTTTATAAAACCAGCTGCTGCGTACGTGCTCTCCCATCATGCCGCACACCCCCCCCTGTCAGGATGATGCATGGCTGCGTGCGTAAACAGGATATCTTCCTTTAATAAGTGGACCTGACAGGCTGCATGATGTTAATTTAATCGCTGTCTTTTGATTGACACTTTTGTTTTCATCAGTACAAAGGGAAGGCGTGGTGAGGGATGGCATGAGCTGAATAGAAGCAGACTATCAATAACGTATGATAAATAATAAACAATGTGATCCATCACTTAAAGTAATAAGAGGTCAGACTGTTTGAGTCTCTTGGAGATCATGCATTGTGTTTGTGATGCAGCTAACCTTGCATACAACATAGCCTGATTTGAAACTAAAAACAATTAAATCCTTAGTTAAGACACCATGAAACCTAGGCAACAGGTTGTTTTTTGTACCTAAAAAATGCCTCATAGTGTTTGTGTTTTCATGACTGTATGCTCAAGGACCTCTTATGGTTGCAGTGATTCAGAGTTTTTGAGAAAGCTATTTGATTGACTGTTTAATACCCTCACTCACTGCTGACTCCTCTAAACCGGCCTGATGATTTGCAGAGTTAAAATCTTTGAGATCCCATTAGATTCAAGCTATTTTTGTTAGTGCTAGGTCTTCTGTTACCGCTCATCTTTGTCCTTTTTGTAAGTAAACAACTGCTTTAGTAGGAAAGCATTGAGTTCAATCTACTAGGCTGAAAACAAGTCTTTGATATTCTGTTGCAAACCTTTGTTTTGGTAAAAAAACACACTTAAAGGTTGGTCTCATTTTGAACCGTAGCATCTGCAGATCAATTGCATACCTCGTTAGAGTCCACACAAGTTGGCCTCAATATAAGTTAAATACATCTCTGTTCTGGATATTTGCCGCCATTTGGACTGTAAGGGAGCCTTGATGGACAATTGAGTGATTGAGATTCAACTGTTTATGATAAGGAGACACACTTACAGATCTGCTGAGTTATCATACATGAACCCTGGTTGATGTGACTGCACACAAAATACTGTTCATTTCTGTTTTCGTCCTAAAAATGCAGCATACTTGACATTTCTTTGCTTATTTTCTATTGCTGTATTTCATCAAACATGGGCTGTTTTGCACCTAATGTATACATGTTGCCATATTCTCTACTGCCATAAACATTCTTCGATGGTTTTTTACCTCCCTATGCCAATCCATTGTGCTGTTATGCCCAATGCCTTGTTATCGTATACACGCCCACATTTTAGCACCGGGCAGAAAGGCTGCTTTGCTGTGTTTCTCTCCATGATCATGCACAGAATGCATAAGAGCGATAAGCCGCAGTGCAAACAACTGAGAGGTTGTTAATATATCCTGTAGCTGCTCTGAACTGCTGCCAGGTTGCCTTTTCTTAGTCTTTATTGCTACTTAGATATACATGGGTAACTCACTGCAGGATTGTGCAACTAAATCAGTAGCAACAACCAATACATTTACTGAGGACGTTGAAATCTGAAATGCTGGTTTAGGCCCCGAAAAGCAGACTTTTGGCTGTAGTTCTCAAAGTGATCCGGCATCTATACATAAAATCAGTGTCAAAGGTTAGATTTTAATTTGAATATTAAAATAACAATATCAAAGATTTTCATTTAGATAAATATCGGGTAAATTGCTACCGCTAATAAAGGTCTAACAATGGTGATGATAACTTATCAAATCTCTTATTTTTGCGGTATTATGAAACACTGGGTGTCTGGTGACATTCCCGGGAAAAACACAAGTGGCAATCTTTGGGAAGTTAGATCCAAAAATACACTGCAATTACTGCTTATCGCCATATGTCCTGTCGAAGATAACGAAATCTTCAAGATTGTAATTTTAATTTAACAGAAACAACATAAACTGGCTGGGACATCACAAACTAAACATGCATCTGTGAATTTAAATGCTTGCAGGTTGTCATAGTTCAAGAACTGATACATTAGCAACTAGCAACATTAGCAACCAGCAACATTAGCAACTAGCAACATTAGCAACTAGCAACATTAGCAACATTAGCCACTAGCAACATTAGCAACTAGCAACATTAGCAACCAGCAACATTAGCAACTAGCAACCAGCAACATTAGCAACCAGCAACATTAGCAGCATTAGCAACATTAGCAACCAGCAACATTAGCAGCATTAGCAACATTAGATACTAGCAACATAAGCAACCAGCAACATTAGCAGCATTAGCAACATTAGCAACCAGCAGCATTAGCAACATTAGCAACCAGCAACATTAGCAGCATTAGCAACATTAGATACTAGCAACATAAGCAACCAGCAACATTAGCAACTAGCAACATTAGATGGTTTATGACCACTGATTTTATGTATCGCTGCTAGAAACACGCATAAAGAGTGTGTCTGTAAAGGCATTCAGGGTTTCCTTCTGGAGTGAGTGTATTATTCTGGTTTGTAACAGAGAACATCGTTGGTTTCCCAGTCTTTAGCTTTGGTACAGTTTTATTTTCATGTTCATTAAAAAGCCAGAGCCATTCAAAGAGGTCATGCAAGATCAGCAGGTGGTTTCGTAAAATGAGTTTCCCTCTGAAGGTTTAAAAAATAAAAGTCATATCTGTGCTGCTGTGGTAGTTGTTCATGAGCTGCTTACTTGTATTAATAAAAATGGTGCCAAGCTTAGAGGTTCAATCTCTCAGACCAGACAAGAGGTTGTTCCAACAACAGCGTTTACAAAAAGAAAAAGCAGAAGAAGCTATTTTATCTCGGTCAAGAGGAAACTAAAGGAAAAATTAAATGTACATGTGGATAATTTATATCAAAGTCCTCGTTAATTATTTCACAATCTATTGTACTTTTTAAATGTTCTGAACGGAACCATTTTATATTGTATATATATGAATATATTTTGTTTTATTTTGTACTGTTCATTGTACTTTGCTTTAATTTAGAAACAATATAAATAAAGAACAATACTGTGGCAACATCTAACTGCTGTATTTAGTGTTTTTCTCAAAGGGGTATCATTGAGCAACAATTAATAAAGGTTAACTTCAAATGTACTTGTTTCAGATTCCTCAAATGTATTTGAAGTCCTCGGATTGTAAACTAAATATTTTTGGGATTATTGGTTTGATAATGTGACCATGAATTGAGTGTGATGTGTACTTTGCAGAAGATTAATAGACAATATAATGAATTGATAAATAAATGATCAGTAAATAAAGTAATACTTTTAAAGCCCTGAACATCATCGTTATTCAGAAATAGTTTAGCTTAAAGCTGTATGAATTACAACATGATACTGTATTGCACTAAACAATAACTGATCTTAAAAAAGGGTCTTTTACCCAAAGGATTGGGAGGGTTACTTTCAAAATGTAACAATAAATGGTAACCTGTAAAAAATGTAATCACTAAAGTAATTTAGGCAATAAGACTGTTAAACACCTGAACAGTTGAAACAACATCCCTAATATTCATCTGGCTGCTACTTAAAACATATTTTAAAATTATTTATCTATTTACCTTTATATCCTATTTCAATAACTTGCATATACTCTTATTTCACTATTTCACTTTTTTAAAACTATTTTTTTTCTTTTTGTATTACTATTTACTAGCACTATATTTTTCTGTTTATCTGTGTTTTGTGTTGCTCTGTTGGAGAAGCCTGTGACACAAGATTTTCATCGGTATAACTACACTGTAGCTATGTTCACATGACTAAATAAAGAACCTTGAATTTAACCTGATTACTTCCCATTACTTTTGGATTACCTCAATATCAAATTAAAGTTGTAACATTATAATCCTGCTAGTAATTCCCACATTTTAGAAATGTAACAGTAATCAGATTACGTATTTAAGGAAATACAGTACATGTAATCCATTGCTCCCAAACCCTGTTAACGCAAACATTATTAACATGTTCTCCAAAAGACAAAATCTAAATGAACTGTATTTGATATAAAGCCTTTATTAATTTGAAAACAAAAACACTAAAGAAAGTTCATTGTAGAATAATGTAGAAGTGTTCATTTTGTTCTGAGCCTCTTCCCTGGTCTCTGGTCAGCGTCGGGTTCTGAGCGGGTCTTCTTCACTCTCGTCGTCACTTCTTCCTCCTCCAGGAGGGGGATCTGCTGCTGTTTGGCTATAGCCTGCGCCCACAGACACATCTCCACCCTGTGGGGGGTCCAGTCCTGCAGGGGGTCCGCTGAGGGGAGAGGACAGACCACGCATCGGAGGAAAAGTGGATTTTATTGGGCTTCTATTTTTACCAAATCAAGGGGAAAAGACTGAGAGGGTGAACATTTCCTTTGATTTAATGTTGTGCAGCTATAAAACGTTACATCTTTCAGTTTTTATAGCCACTGTTAAAAATTTGAATAAAACTGATTAAACAGGATTCAAATGTACAGTGCTGTGCAAAAAGTATAATTAATAGTCTCAAATTTAATCTAATAAAAAGGCAAACATAAAATATTAAAGGCTTGATTTAAACGCACAGATATGAGGTTTGATCAGACAAGCTAGTCTCTTTATAAGTTAATTGCTTTTTATTTTGTAGAATCATATTTAATGTGCTTTTTTGACAATGTAGAATCCAGATGCACCCACCACCCTTCGTGTCTGCATCATTAGCTCACCTTTGTTTAGTTTCTCAGTGCACTGGACCATTTTGCCCAGGTACAGAGCGTAGTGCTTGGCTGTGTATTGGATGGGCTTCAGGCCCGGGACGCTCTCCATGGCTTCATCTGACATGAACGCAGCCTGTTCTGGAGCTCCTGCCGACAACACAGCTGGAACAAAATGGACAGTCAGTCTTGAGCCAAGCTGAGGGTGGCAACGAGGAGAATACAAACTATTCAAACAGAGAGCAGGGAGTCCCAGCCGCACAGAGGTAGCACACTCACTGAGAGAGAACTCACTTTAAGAGGATCACACAGAGATGTTTTATCAGTGTGAATTCCAAAGCTTTTGTTTGATGAAAGCAGATTGGATTCAGCATGTGCAGAAGCAGAATATAGATGCTGTGCTAACCTGAGGCAGTGGCTGGGCCGACTCCTTTCAGAGAGCTGAGCTCTGCGATGGCTGCCTTCACGTCAGGCAGGAGGCTGAAGGCCTTTCTGGAGCTCCTCTCCACGGTGTCCTCACTGTTGGACGCCACCAGCTGTTGCAGCCTCGGCCTGAACTTCCCTCTCTGCGGAGGAAAAGCACACGAGGCCACTCAAGGACACAGCTGAGGCTCTGTCAGCCTCTTAGTGGCTCTGCATAGCAATACGATATGTCTGAGGAATTATTTGCTGACAACATCTTTTTGTGTTGCAGTTCCTCTGGGATTATTATGGTTTTATGTCTAGATGTCACTCACAGTGAGCTTCCACTCCATCAGTCTCACCAGCTCCGACTGAGTGACATGTTTGTCAGGGCGACTTGAAATGAGTGTCGGCAGCTCCTCTTGGTACCTGACAGCAGATACACACTGGTCAGTTTAAATCTCATGCTCAAAACAAGGAACAACTTCAGAGCTGGAACAATTAGTCAATTAATTGATCAACAGAAAAGTTCATGGCAATTCTTTTGTTGATTCGTTTCAGTCATTTGTCATGCAGAAATAGCTAGACAATTTGATTACATTACTCCACATATATATATATATATATATATATATATATACATATATACATGTACAGATGTTCATCCTTTTATTTCCAGTGAAAACCATGTATATCCAGATGTGTTGATTTAAAATGTTTGTGATAACATGAAAGATTAAGTGTTCCTTCATGTGTTGAGAACATCCTTCTACTCCTTAAGTTAAATCAATTATTTGAAAAGTCTCTTAGATCTATTTTGGAAAATGCAGGAAGAATTATTTACCACTTTTCGAGGTCCAGCAGCTTTCCAGGTTTCTTGCTTTTGGATTTGGCCTCCACTACATCCCAGTATCTCCCAAACACTGTCCTCCATGTGTTTGGTTCCTCACAAGCAAACAGAGAACTCATGGCTGCATGGCACCATCACCTGCAAACATAGACAAACAAAATCAGTTTACAACCTCTATTCTACAGCACTGTGCCATTTATACTAATATATCTATTCAAATACCTCGTTTCAACAAATGCACTGTTCACTTTTAAAGAACAGATGAAAACAGAACAACAAAAAGGTGAAAATCTTCAGAAAACTCCGAATGAATTGTCGTAGTGTCGATGCTTCCGTAACTAGACACGGAATTCTCGCGAGATGACAGGGCAAAATACTACTTCCGGTGCCGCAAGCAGTGAGCAACAGTTTCAGAAGGTTTGTTCTCCTAAAATACTCTATTATTAACCTTGCATAGACATTGTACCCCAGTTGGATATATTATTGTTGTCCGACATAATTGTGAAACTTGAGTCGTGCGCGTTTCGTCTTTGCAAAAGTGCTCGGTAGCTAGGTTAGCCAGCTAGCATTAGCATCACATTCCTGTCATGTTTATGGTGAAAACACTGCAGGAGTTTAGCTGTTAGCAGCCAACAACACGCCCACAGACAAGTGAACAACTTAGAGAAACGTATTCAACCCAATTTCAGAGGAGACTAGACCACCACTTAAGCACAAAACAAAGGGGATGTAAGTAATATTAGGTCAATGTGAATAGTAGCACATGTTACTTAGGGGAGAAGCTCTCAATTTTCGGATCCCTCGTTTTGTCTTGACAGCATCATTATATCTTCAGTTGAGCTAAAGCAGCTATTGGTCAATTCCAGCACGAGGTAGAAATGGGTTAACACAAACCTCAGCACAGCAATACGTTATACAGATGAGACAGAAGTAAACAAACAGAAGGGACAGTATAAAAACCTAAAATGATAATCTGTTGCAAGAAGAAGCGTTCCTATTTCTCCCAGCTAAATGTCGTCCTAGAGACCTTTCATACCTCAGGAATGTCTCCTCTAGGTTCATGTATGTTTCCCTAGGAAATCATCCACAACAATGTATTGCTGCCAAAATAGTTTTTGACTTTTGACATTTTAAATCTCAACATAAACTGCAACTAAGGTATGTTTTCATTAAAGCTTAATCTGTCAATTATTTTATAGATTATTCCTTTTA